ACCCGGCCAGGGCAAGAGGCCGTCATTATTTAGGACAAAAAAAAGAACAATAAATTCTGAGTGAAATGATTGACAGTCAAGGTTGATGGGAATATGGTAGAAATAAAGATATCTACTAAAGAAAACTTAGTCTAGCATTGGAGTTCTCCTTAGCAATTTTATTTTATTTTTTAAAATCCTCACCCAAGGATATTTTCCCATTGATTTTTAGAGAGAAAGACAGAGAGAAATACTGAGCCATACCAGCTAGGACTCTTCTTAGCAATTGCAAGTGAAGGAAGAAAACGGAACAGTGTCTCCCGAGGACTTTGTCAGGGGGCTTCTGTACGAGCCATTTTTTGCAGCGGCCAAGTCATCGTGCAAACAACAAGGCAGCAGAAAGATGCGTCCAATTGGCAGGTTCCTGAACTCTGTCGTTTACGTGGGGGTGCAGACACGGCAGAGCCCAGGTTCCTAGGTCAGAGCGTCTTCCCCAGGACCCTGCGTTTGCCGTCGGTGGGGTGTCCTCCGTGTTCCCACCTGCTGCAGGTGGAAGTGGGCTTCTTGGGGTGCCACGGGAGTGGGAATTTCTGGAGGCCTCCACGGGAGGATGAGGCGTCGTGAGAAGTTTCTGTGGAGTAAGCCCCTGAGTGTCCCAGGTCCCCTCTCCCTCCGCCCTCCCCGGAGGGAGTCCAGCCGTGTCTCCCCCGCTCCATGTGTGCTCAGTCCGCCCGGTGCCTGGCTGGCTGGGCCGTGTCCCCAGTGGCTGTGTCCTTTGCGTGTGGCGTCCGCATGGCCGGCTAGCACAGGCCGGGGCAAGGAGGCAGGAGCCAAGGGAGAGGAGCCAGAGGGCGAAACCCCTTTGTCTGGGAGGATGTGTTCCCACATCTCCATGGCCTTCATTGGCTCCACCCTCGGGCCAGTTACCTTTGTTCCAGGCTCGATGGACAGGACGCACCTTCCCTACGTCACCCCAACGTCACTGCGCGTGCACCCATCCCCCCTTTGTCCGGGCCCTCCCCCGAGCCATCTGCAGGGAGCGGACGGTGGTTCCGGGGAGAGTGAAGGTACAGCTTCCCGGTGAAGCTGCCCGATGGCCGTGCCCACATGTCTGGCCTCCCCGTTGCTCTCTTCCCCTCCTTCCTGTCAACAACCAGCGGAGGACAACGAGAGCGCTGACCGTAAGTCTGCCACACGCGGGCCCTTGGGGAATGTTTCTCTCTCACTGACTTTCCTGGTGAAGCGAGGTGAACCTGCACTCGGGGGCAGGGGTGGCTCTGGGCACCGGGCGGAATGCGCGCCCTGCACCTCGCCTCCCTTTCAGCTTTCGCCGAGGCCCCGGCCTGTTTCCCATAGTGGTGACCCCGGGTGCCAGGAGGCCTGGCTTTTCCATGCAGCTGTGGTCTTGGGAGTTCTGTGCTCCTGGGTTAAACTCCATCAACTAAGTCATCTGTACAGTACGTGGGGAGTTGCATGTCTGAAGGGGATTCGTGGTGGTGTCTTCTGTAAACCGCAGGCCACTGGTTGAGCTGCTGAGTGCAAGGCACCGGAATGAAAGTGACTCGGACAGGAAGGTTCACAATCTGGGGGGGAAGAGACACTTGTAAAGGGTGACATAAGGAAAACAAACCCAAATACCCCAGTGGTTAGTGTCTGTCGGGATAAAGGATTATAGACTGAATAGAGCTGTGTAACTACCGCTCAAGTCAAGAGAGGGAACTTTACCAGCATCCAGTCGCCCCCAGGACCCCTCCCCGTTACCAACAGGATGGCACCAGTTTACACCCTTCTTCCTGGAAGTAATAGTTGTAATTGCCTCACCTCCTGTCAGCACTTGATACCGTCAGTCTTTCACATTTTAGCCATCGTAGTGGACATGTGTCGGTATCTCATTGTGGTTTCAATCAGCACCAGATTCGATTTTATTTAAATTTTTTGGTTAATTTTCACCCGAGGATATTTTCCCACTGATTTTGAGAGAGAGTGGAAGGGAGGCGGAGTGACAGAGAGAGAGAAACATTGATGTGAGAGAGACATTGATTGGTTGCTTCCCGTATGCCCCCTCACCAGGCCTGGGGATGGAGCCTGCAATCAAGGTACGTAACCTTGATTGGAATCTAACCCAGAACCCTCCAGTCCACGGCTGACACTCTACCCCCTGAGCAACACCGCGAGGGCACCAGATCCGATTTTAGAGAAACGAAGCCGTTGACAGTCTCCTGCCTGGCGCTACGGAGAAGCTCAGAGGTGAATGTTGAACTTCCCAGCAGAAGAGTCCGTGGAGCGAGGGATGGAGAGGAGGAGAGCCCTCCCTCTGAGGGTCATCTGAGGGGAGGGCTGGGACCAGGTGCTGTCCAGGTTCTAGGATCCCAAGTGTGGCCCTGCGCTCCCATCCCCACCCCCTCTTCCCTGTCCTGGGGCCGGCCGCCTGCTGCCTCCTGTCTGTCTGTCTGTCTGTCCGTGCCCAGCAAGGTCCCAGGTGTGCTCCGAGGGAGGCAGCTGTCCAAGCCACTCGACCCAAACCCTGCTGCTTTCCTGGCCTTGAGTCCTGCCTTCTCGCTGTTGGTTATGCTGGATGGGAAACGCAGGCAAATGCTTTATCTTGAAAAAACGCCTGGGATGACTGACAAAAGGCAGCAGTGGATGCTGAGGGCGGGGTGGGAGTGGGGTGTGAGGAACTGGTGGGCTGCCTGGTGGGCGGAGAGCTCCAGCTGTCAATCATTTGCCCAGCAGGGATGGCAGGCGGGGAGCTGGGAGGAAGGAATGGAAGTGTGTGCTGTGCTGAGCTTTCCTGGGGCAAAGCTGCAGAGCCAGAGGGGTGAGGAGGACACGGTGATCTGCCCCCGGGGGCTGCTCCCCCCTCCAGATTTATGGGGCGACCTCATCGGGCCTTTCCCTGGGCAGGAAATGGGCTGTTTGCTAATGCCCTTCCCCTGCCCCACACACCTGCAAAAGCAAGTTGGTAGTATTTTAAAATCATTTACTAGAATGAAATGTCTGTGTTTTCCTTTGGATAGTTGCCCAGTAATTGGCTTTGTGCTTTTTGAATCAAGAAATGGCTTCAAATATATAGGACCTCAGATTTTAGGCTCTCTCTCTCTCTCTGTCTCTCTGTCTCTCTCTCTCTCTCTCTCTCTCTCTCTCTCTCTCTCTCTCTGTCTCTCTCACACACACTCACACACACACTCACACACTCAGGTCTCCTCTAAGGTGAGAAACGGGTGAGGAAACCATAGGAATGTGGGGCATGGGCAGCTTTTTTAAATCCTAGACTCGTAGTTAAAGCTGACTTACTTGTCATTCCCCGGGGCTTCCTCTGCTTGCGACCCCCCCCCCCCCCCCCC